CTATTGTATCCTTGTTAAATAATATTGATAATTTTTTTGGGACGTTAGATCCCCAGAACTCGCACGATAAATATCTTCATTTTGGATTTTATTCACAGGCTGACCATTTGACCTTAAGATGTCATTTCCCGCCAGGAAAATCCATGGCTATGATTTTAGTGTGCTATTTTTTGACTCTCCCAAGGACGTTTCTATGATGTATAGATAAACGGGATTTGTGTGCTTGAGATCATTGTGTTTTCTGGGTGTTTGTAGAATACACTTTATATGCCATATCAAGACTTTTGATATAGTTAGCCGGGCCGGGGACAACGGATTAGAATAGCCTACTATGTCGCTTGTTCCTTGTCTTGTTCACGTTGATCGACTAAGATGAACTCGTCATAGTTTCAAGCATATCAAGTAATGAGCATAACATAATTACGCTGATAAAACACTTATTAGATGAGTCAATCTATCATGTCAATAAATGAAATATTTATAGTAGTAATACTACTGATTAATCATCTCACTAATCAATTTTCATCTTTCTAATTATCATTCTAATTGGCATTTAAAGAATCCAATATAGTTGAGTTGATTTGAATGAGTCAGCATGTTAATATGTTCGTTCAGTTCACTTCCACGATGAGTCAGTTTAAAGAAAAAATAACAACAACAACAACATCACAATATACAAACTTTGATAGTATTTCACGCAAAACAAAATAGTTTTTTATTATCTTAGACCTATTTATCCGACACCAAAAATGATTGTGTGAAAAAAAATTTTCAAATGATCTACCCCTTTTGATGGAAGGAAACCTGATAAAAATCATGTTTACTATCGGCAGATAAGCATAGAAAATTAGTTGGATATCTATCAAATTGAAAATCTCATACAAAATTTTATTTGATGTTAGTAGAATTTAAGACAAGTGTGTGTGTTTTAATCATCTTTCAATGTGTATTGATTAATTTGAACATTGAACCTGGTCAATTTTGTCACATCAAAATATCAGTTGGTTTGTCTATAGTTATATTGCCTAAATCAAAGAGGCTTATAATTTGAAATAAAAAGTTGTTGTAATTTTGACTCTTTAAACTTAATAGTGATAATAGTTGTTTTATTCAATAAAACAAATTATGTCAAAGTAATTGGTTTTCAAAGGGAAAGAGGAAGACCAAGGAATACATTACGCCGAGAAATAGAGAGAGATATGAGAGGAATGAACAAACATTAAACAGAACTGGAGAGGGAAGCCCAGGACAGAGTTGGTTTGAGAAAACTGGTGGGCGGCCTATGCTCCATTTGGGGGTAACAGGCGAAAGTAAGTAAGTAATTAGCTTTCAGCACTGGTTATGCAACAATAACAATAAATTTCTATTCAATATACACTGAAATCGTAATTATCAAAAACAAATAACTTTTTTTCAAGTATGTGTAGTGGTATACTTTTACGAAGAAAACACAATTGCTGAAATATAAACATTTATTATTGTACTTAATTCTGACAATAATTGTTATATTGTACTCCTTTTGTTTAACTGTACTAAAGACTCTCTCTTGCGCGCCAAACGTGTCAATCCCATTCCGTTTTTCTCCTCGGTGGTTGTTTTTGCCACTCCTGTATTTCTGGTCTTGATATTATTACGATATCACAACGCCAGCGTAATAAATATACTCCTTCTTCTTTTAGATAGTCTTTTCTTTGACTTCTGGATTTATCAGGATTTAACGTTGTAATCCCGGGAAGAAATATATTTATACCAACTCACTATATATATATGTTTAATAGTCATTATGTGCCACATGTTCAGCTATTATATCTATATATATATTTTTTCCGGTTATCTATTATGTCTATGAGATAAAACAATCTTTATGTATTCTTCTCTCACTACTTAAATGGATAGCTAAAGAGAGAAATATAAGAACAAGAATGTTCTAGCACTGAACTCCTCAGTATTTGATATGCTCATCTATCGATAAAGCTTTTTATAAAAGTTTACGAATACAAATTTACCTATAAAACAAGAAGAATAAATAACCGTAATGTTTAGATGGTTGAAAAATATTTAATCAAACTAGAACCCATTTGACATCATGATTTCTTTGGTTAATCAGTGGAGACTATTATGGACTACATTCACCACTGAACTACATTTTTGTTTTAATTCAGTAACAAAGTAGTTATTCAAATCTGTTATTAACAATTGAAAATTGAATATTTTAACCAATAATCCATCTCTTCACAATCGACCACAGATCCTCATATATATTTGGATTGTTTTTCTTGAAATGTTTGAAATCGATGTCTAAGAATTGATGAATTATTAGATAGAATTGTTTGGCAAAGCAAGTTACTCACTTTATCCGATAGTAAACATGAACTCATTACAGTAGTTGAGATTAGAATTATTTCATGATATGTCTCTAATTATAGTATAGTAGGTGGAAATATTTATGAAAATTAAGAAGTAATGATATCTTATTTAAGAATATTAATAATTTATATAATCTAATTATTGATTTAAATTTTCAAATGAAATATATCTAGTTCTTAGATAAGAATACTAGAAACAATGAAAATGAAATTGTATTGATTATTGACTACATAAACTCTGCCTAAAGCCGTTTTGAAGTTACTGACGGTCCCAAGTTCGGATAAAGGAAGAGGGTCGAGCGCGGCGGTAGGAACTCCTTCCCGTAGGAAACCAACTCAATAAAAAAAAACCGCTAACCAGAAAAATCTTATTCAGCGACCCACGCTACATCACAGGTAACAAACGGAAGTAAGTAAGCAAGTTTATAATGTTAGTTTAAAACACATTACAGGGAGTAGCTGTGACTTTCTTAAGGTAGCCAAATGCTTTGTCATTTAATTGAATGGGTATATTAGCTGGAGTGTTGTTGTGGTGGCAGCTGCCTCTTCGTGGCCCCGCTAGAAACGTGGCGTTGTTAACAGCACCGAGGCCAAAGGCGTTCTAAACGCTCAGGATACCGTGCGTAGCATGATTCAGAATAATGGTACGTGTTCACGGTCGCAAGGTCGTGGATGCGGTTAGCCACTCTGGGGGATAAGAACTTAACGCCTCTAAGTCTGAATTCCGTCCATCGAGCGTAGGTAAATTCCGATAATAGTTTGAGGACTTGTCCTCTATCATTCCTTAGCAGCAAATAACTTGAAAGGGATGTAGCTTTCCAGGATGGTTGAAGGCGGCCCTAAACGTCCTGTTTGGGGAAGCAGCCGTAGAGATCCTGGACTATTGACCCCAACCCATTGTGGTTGTCCCGAACAATCTGCGTCTCAGTGTATTGTGTAAACTGGCGTCGAGACCCCTTAAACAAGGGTCTCGAGTTAGGTTATGTGATCCGGTGCTAAAGGATACCGAACGCCAATGATGTCTACCCACTTCTGTGGAATTAGCCCAGCCTGGCCGAATGCTTGCACTTGGTTGAGTCCATAACATCTTCCTCATGGGAGTGTGTACGTTCCGGCTGACCTTGTGGGACAAATTCGATCTTTAGCTTCATGTGGGTTCAGAGGGCTCCGGTCGACTATATCAGCGCAAGGCAGTTGGAGGCCAGACGGTTGGAACGGCTGGTGGTTAGTGCACTTCTGAGTTGATCGGTAATTCGTTCAGGTTGCCAGGTCCGGCTGGGTTAGCCCGCCTTGCCGCTCATGCCGATTGAGGATTTCTGGTAGTGGATTGGTGGAGGGATCTTGTTGATTCATAAGTGCCCGAACGGCAGCCACTGCTCGTGTATGTGCTTTTTGGACCTCTGACCTGCTTGCGGGCAAAACTGGACAATATTTACCTTCCCGATCGGGGCAGGGGTGGGCACTAAAACGGCTACGGTGAGAATCCTTGTGTTGCCTAGAAAGCAGCGATGTGCATGTGCAGCAGGCTTGTCGGTTAACAAAGATTTAGTTTAAAATACATTACAGTATAATAAATTGATTAGTTTATTATAATTCTGTATATTTTATCGATTCTGTTTTATGTTTAATTTATTTGTTTTATATCCACTTGTATCTCTGTTAATCTAGTTTGAATAACTTAACTATTAGTATTAAATTTCCACTTGTTAAGAGAAGAAGGATATTGAATGAATATATTTTTTATCAAATTTGTCAATTAAGTATCTGTAAGTTTACACAAATAATCAATCCATCGATCAATAAGTCCTACTAATTAAAATTTTATTGTTCTTAAAGGATCTGGAGAGAAAAAAGTACAATTCTGTTCTTTCAAAAATAATTGTAAACACTTACGTCTTCTGGATGATACCTTTAGTAGAAGATCATAAAAAACCTGAAACCTATTGTGCTGAGAGCTATCTTGAATTCGTTGAGTTTGTCAGTATCCTGAAGAAAGGCCTTATCATACTTCTGTGATGTTGTGCGCTCCGTTGTCTAGTGCTTCTTGAGTTTCAATTTATTTTGACGACCAACCAGTAATGATCCAAGTTAAATGATTCGAACTGCCGTTTCTGGTTAGTGTTTTTTTCAGCAAGTTTTCGTCCTACGAGACGGGGTCACCAACCCCATACCCAACCCTCCTACTTTATCTGTGCTTGAAACCGGCAGTAGCCTCAAAGTGGCTCCAAGCAGAGTTACATTCAAACTTAATTATAACCTAATTGAGTTTAAAATAATTCACAGCGATTCACATTATACATTACTGCCTTATTGAGTTTGTTGAAGAAATAATGAAACAAGCCATTTTGAAATAGATTTTAGTCAAGAGATAAGGATATTTTTGTTGTGACAGGCTAATTAACCGATTAACTACCAAGAACTGATAATTTCGTTAAACCTGTTAGTTACCAGTTTTGAACTAAATCAAATGTCAAAGTGTAGAACCACTAAATATTCCTGACAATAAAGATTGTAGTTTGTATAAGAAGTATGCAATCAAAATAGTAAAATATCGATTGTTACGTAATGATCAATCAGTGCAAATAGTTCAGTAATTCCAAGTAATCAGTCATGTATTGAATACCTCAACGGTTAATGTTTCCGGTTGTGATTCGAGATGATGATGATGATGATGATGATGATGATGATGATGATGATGATGATGATGATGATGATGATGATGATGATGATGATGATGATGATGATGATGATGATGATGATGATGATGATGATGATGATGATGATGATGATGATGATGATGATGATGATGATGATGATGATGATGATGATGATGATGATGATGATGATGATGATGATGATGATGATGATGATGATGATGATGATGATGATGATGATGATGATGATGATGATGATGATGATGATGATGATGATGATGATGATGATGATGATGATGATGATGATGATGATGATGATGATGATGATGATGATGATGATGATGATTATGATGATGATGATGATGATGATGATGATGATGATGATGATGATGATGATGATGATTTGAATTCCCTAATTGAAGATTACAGATACTCATTACTGATGACTGTCAACTGACAGGAAATCTTCATTCGAAGCATTAGTCGATAACTTTCAACAATCCAACAACCAGACTAATAAATAATTTGACATTACTGATATCGAAACCTCGGTCTACAATCCAGTTTATACTACAAAACATGAAATAGTTTTGCTTCTGATTATTGATTAAGGAATTAATCAGCTGAATTTTTAACAAAATTTAATTTCAAATGAAATTTTTTGATGATGAATACGTGACTGTAACAAATAACAAGATTCTGTTTTCGCCTACAGTTTTCTAATTATTTTTTTACACAATCTCCATATAACACACTTTATTGTAGAAAAAAGATCCGAAATGTTTCTTTTCTTAGATTGTTAGCGTTTACACCCCGAAACTTATATTCGATACATTCTACTCAATAAACAAACCATTACTAAAAGATCTACAATAGCTGAGTAGTAGTCATTCAAATAATAAACTCAATCAATATCCAGATGAATTATACAAAATTCACTAAATTTGAACAAACTTACTTTAAATTATTTGAACAAATGTTAAAACACACAACATCAAAACAATTGAGAAACTAACTACTAATCTGTCAAAAAAAAAAACGTTAAATTTGATCATTTTGTCAAATGCCATTTTGAATTTTTATGATTCAAACATCAAATTTAACTATCTCTTTTTTTCTTTCTGCAGCATTTTTATCAAAAGAGAAAATCGAGTCAATGTAAGTTTGCACAAAAAATAAACAGAATATTACAAGTATATATATATATATATATATACATATATATATATATATATATATATATATATATATATATATTGACTTTCTACTAGTATATAGATACGTTACTTTTCCCTGTTTGCCAACTTTCTTGTCACGTATCAATTGTGCAATTGTCTTTTCCCGTGCTTTTATCTCGAAGAAAATTAACAAAATTCACCTAAGTTTGATTTTGAAATAAGTAAATGAAACTTTTTTTTTATCGAATAATCAAATCTATTACAAACAGTTTATAGTTGAAGTTAGTCAAGAGAAAAAGAACTAGACGAAGAGGAGTGAGGGTAGCTTGATATTCGACAATTGTTTTGTTTTGTTGTTTTTGGCGAAAAAAGGAATAGAAACCCTAATTAATCAATTCTTCTCTGAAGATTCATGTGTTTTCGTGGTTTGAATATCGTCAGAATGATTATAAACATTTGATACACATGTATTTATATGTATATATATATAACATGTTTTTGACTTCATAACAAACGAGCGGTAAAGATTATTTGTTGCAGTCTTCTATTTTTTTCAAAATTAGGACAAATTTCCGAAACATAAATAAATATTCCCAAATCGTAATCTTAATGATTGTGATTTTTTTTGTAGTCTTTATAGGTTCTCAGACAAAAAGTACACTGATTCAATGGATATATATAATTTACATATATGTGATATTTTTTAATAGTGAGCGAAAGAGGATAGAATTTTTAAATTACAACAAATGTTGAAAATATTTCATTTTCAATGGTAACATTCAATCATATTTTTTTTCAGTGTTGTCTATTATGTAGAATCGAACCAAAATAATTTGAAAATTATTGATTGCATTGGGAAAATTATCAAATTTTCCCTGAACATACATAATAATTAACTTAACATTACATAATCACTGTGATTGTTCCTTCGTTGTTCATCATTTCATTAAATGTACATAAAAGAATAACACATTGAAATCATCAGTCAATCAATCAATGATGGTTAGACCACCGTTAGAAACCTGCAAGCACTGGACGGCCGTTTTGTCCTGGTATCGGACTCGTCAGCATTGCGCATCCACTACTCCTGAACCTCACAGGATTCGAGCCGAAGACCTTCAGTCTTACGCGCTAATGCCTAACCTCTGGACCAGTGGGCCGGCATCCAGCGGTGTTAGTGTCTAACTCTAACCAATCTTCAAGTTCAAGCGATCACGTGTAAGACTGGATCCGAATCCTGTAAGTTGATGTAGTCGTGTGTGCGCACTACTGATGAGTCCCACACCAGGACAAAACGGCCGTCCAGTGCTTCCAGGTTTCTAACGGTAGTCTAACAATCATTGATTGGTTGATCGTTTTTAATGTGAAAAACACTAGTCTCCATAATCCTAAATTTAAAAAAATCATAAAAAGAATTAACTGAATAAATAATTATTATAAGATGTAAGAGTATAAACTGAGGCATTGATCAAAAAATAAGAACACAGTCACTAATACTTTTTTTTCAAATCAAAGTATATCCACACTTACAACTACTTCTAAAGTAATCAATACAAATTATCATAAAAAAGTCAGTTAGATGAAAGTTTTTTTTTACTTGTTTCATTTCGACATGATTATTTCATTGTAAAATAATAATTTCAAACAGCAATAGAAAATAGTTTGTGTTATTTGAATGAAAAAAAACAAATCCAAATTGTCGATGACAAATGATTGTCTTTTTTTTTTGAAAATGAACGAATTCGTACTGTCTTTTTTTTGTATTTTTGAACTTGTGATTAGAAAAAAATTTCAATTCATTAATTAATTAATAACTAAAATAATTCATTTGTTCAACAGTAAATAATCTATAATGTATGACAAAGTTTATATAAAGAAAGGAGCTTTACATATTAAAATTATATGAATTATTGTAATTATTATTCTTTTTTTGTCGAAATCCTGTGGAACATTGAATACGTTTTTGTTTTAATTTTTTGTTCAATGTTCAAGTCTTTAGTGAATAAATAAACTGAAAGATGAACATTGTGTACAAAATACAAATGATCATAAATCTGTATCAACTAACAACATAAAGTAAATAACAAGATTCAAGTTAAATCATTAAACAAAATTCGGTTTGTATATTTGATGTTAGTTAGTAGGATATGTTACAAACATTTAAAAGCATTTGTTGATACAGTTTGTTGTACTTCTTGACTAAAGTTACTGAAAAAAAGAGTAACTATTATTTACAATTAACAGGTGATATGTCGATGAAACTAAACAGATTTTTCATGTTTAATTAATAAAGGTCCATAAAATCGGTCCGTACGACAAGTGAACAGGTGAGGAGCTGATCCAGTGTGAGTATTGATTAATTTGTTGATTGTCTGTTAAGTAATAAATCAGGTTGACTAACTAATGACAAACAAAACATGAGATAATCGGAAATAAAACTATCACAACTTGACCATTAGTTCAAAATACAATTTTCCAAGGTCATTCCCCTTATAAAGATTAACTTAGTAAGCAGATAAAATCTACTTCTACAGTTCAAATTACCCATACAGTGATGCAGAACTAAATGGTAACCGTATTCCAACAGTATTAAGCAATAACAACATGCATACGACCACGCTAGCAAATGATAGATCTTTAGTAAGTGAGTCGAGTCGCGATCGACTATGATCACTACTAAATACTTATTACGAACGCGTCACTGAGAACATAAATAAATACAGGATAAAGAATATATTTGCTGATGATTTCGTGATGTCGCAAGAACACCGAAATTACATCAGGAAAGTGGGCGAAGCTGGCAGCAACACAAACAGAAAATTGCCCGTAAAAAAAGTGTAATAAACAAAAAGTACAGTTAAACGACATTGGTAGAATTGGTTATAATAATCAATGTTTCTAGTAAACCAATCGTGTTCTCTTCATAAACGTATTCCAATATACTATGGAACGCTAAACCATGAAACAGTAATTCTGCATCGAATAAGAATTTACAATACAAGAATATAATAATATCAGTATTCATTATTGATAAAACTAAAAAAATATCAACAATAACTTCGAATAGAACCATTGTGAAAAATCAACTTTATTTGATATTCATACAGATATAGCGATAGACTGACTAATGGATATTTACGAAATGTGCGATAGAGCAGTATTCCAAAAAGTTCCAATTATTCAAAGCGTCACGCTACTACAATTAATGACAGTGGAACAGAAAAGAAACTATTAAAACCAACTGATTTATAAATCAAGTATTTTCAAGCAGAGCTTCATTTTTGCACGTTGTGTAGAACACAATTTACTCACATCATTTCTGTTTTTATGCTGACGTGAACGTGACGTAGAAGGTCTACTCCTGAGAAAAATCAGACGAAAGACAATGTTATATATAAAAGCATGTCTATGACAAAGTTAAACAATAATGGAGAAAGTGGACATACCTGACGGACACCACTTGAAGTAAAGAATTCCCAATGACAGTTCGCCATAAGCTCTCACTCGGCCAGTGGTGTTCGAGTAGAGAGCTTTTGTAAGGTGAATGTACTCCTTCGGTTCACGTCTCACTGTCAAACACTGCCACAAAA